TCTCTTAAAATAGATTTTAATTTACATAAATGACACTAAAAAACTATCTTTTCCTGCGTACTAAGAAATGAAAGGTAAAAAAAAAACAGCTGTTGCCACTTCATGAAGTTTGGGGACTCTTATTTTGAGATAAGAGCAAGGTAAAGGATTAGGCACAAGGATCAGTGTGCAGTAACAAGAGCTTTTCTGATGAGCCCTGAGCTGCGGAGGAGGACAAGAGCTTGTTGAAAATATAAAAGGAAAAGTTTCCTATAAAAAAATCCAAAAGATGAATCATTTCTGGGCTTAAACATTCCTGTGTTCTTGTTTCAAATGTTGCTGCATGTGWGAAGAAAAGGCTTTCAAATTAGCAAACATTATTCATGATGTTTTCAGAAATGTACACAACACGAGGTATTTGAAACAAAACTTTTGATGAGAACACATTTAAAAGAATAACTTGAACACAGTGAGGTTTGCTTACATTATACAGCAAAGCCTTAAAAATGGACTGTTATGGGAACAGGTTGGGTTATTTTTTGTTTTGTTTGTTAGCCTTTTTTTTTATTTATTTATTTTTTGTTTTGTTTTGTTGTCAAAGTGGCCAACCATGATAATGAGACATTTTGTTTTTCAAATATGAAAAATTTAGTTAACCAGAGGAGCAGCCAGATAAAGTGACACAACTGAGAGGATTCAAAGAGATGCCAGTGCAGATGAAAAAAAAATGTTTAAAAGGAAGCAAGAATAATAAGTTGACAGCACAGGATAGAAAGCAGGGGGTGAAGGAGACCAGCAGTCATCGCAGTGAATGACCACAAACTGTCTTTGAAAATGTGAAATGGACAAAAAACGGGGATCTGTGAACAAGGGCAAGGAAACATGCAATCTATTGGTACGGTATTCATTAACTTCTGATGTTGGCTGATACATTTCCTCTGACATCCATGAAAACAGCAGGAATGCTGGTCAAAATGTGAAGGCTATGACGAAAAATGTGGCATTTAGCTCCAGTAGGCTGAAGCTAATTTCATAAAACATATCTAAATGTGGATCCAGTGCAAATGTTGTTGCTTTACTTCAAGGTGATGGAGTTTGGATGTGTTTGTGTGTGTATGTGACAACATATTTAAGATGAAACAAATACATTTGCTCTTACTGATTAAAACTTCCACAAGTCTTAGTGATGAGCTCAGGAAAAGAAACATTTCAAGGCAGATTACAGTATGTTAGAGTGTTACCACATGTAGACTGTTTTGTGCCTAAATACATATAAGGGCAATCCACTTGTGTATCYATGTTTAATAGTATAGGAAAAATACCTAAAATTTTAATCCAACTGCTATGTTTCAATAGCTAAATATATGTTTAAAGCCCTGTACTGTAACTTTTCAAAAGCTGCATACACATCAGCAGCATTTTCTCTGCTTCAGGTTGTCCAACATGTATTACCATCCCATACATCTTTCAAACTGCAGCTAAATTAAATTATTTATGCACTGCAAGAATCTAAAAACAGTGTCATAGAGACAAAAATACTTACTACTGTACAATTGTAAATAATTGATATATTTCCTGTTATGATGTGTGAAAGGGTGATTTTTGCACAKAAGTTGAAAATGTATTTGACGACAAGTTTAGCAACTTTTTTTAAATCTCCAGACCTTTCTCCTACAGGACCTAGTGACAATTGTGACATCATGATTAAACATTAGCCTCTTTCGGTAGAACATCAGCACTAGAGCTGCTCAAGCATACAATCTTCCTCACCAGCCCACCTCTTTGCATCCATGCTGTCAACCTGCTTCTGTTCCTGCGTGTCACATGCTGTTGTTTTGTCAAAACCTTTGGCAGCTCTGAGCTAAACACAAGATGGCCTTTGACATCGGTACACTAACACAGCAATTGTTGGAGTTTTAGAAACAGATATGTATACATCACCTTTTTTTAACCTAAAATACCACCAGAATTTATAATCTCACCAAAAGGTGCTTATTGTTTTTGAAATAATAAAAGATGCATCCATCCATCATCTATACTCGCTTATTCCATTCAGGGTCATGAGTGCCCATATCCAGCAGTCACAGTGCGAGGGGTGGGGTACACCCTGGACAGGTCTCCAGTCCATCACAGGGACACATAGAGACAAACAACCATTCACTCTCTCACTCACACCTAGGGACAATTTAAAATTATAAATTAAACTAACAGTCATGTTTTTGTGTGTGGGAGGAAGCTGGAGTACCCGGAGAGAACTCACGCATGCACGGAGAGAACATGCAAACTCTACCCAGAAAGGTCCCCAGGCCAGTATTTGAACTGGCAACCTTCTTGCCGAGAGGCATCAGCTCTACCAACTGAGCCACAGTAGTGACCCTTAATAATACAAGATGAAAGCTAAAAACAATTATTGATACATTCTATACATTCTTGTAGCAGGAGGTCATATATATAT